TACTTGCCCAATAGTCCTTCATTTTCATTATTTGTTATTGGCAAAGGTAAAGTGAAGGGTACATTCATTATATTATAATTTTGTCCAGCTTTGATTAGTCTAAGTTAAGATGCCCAGTCGGTCCTTGAGATCCACTTTCCTACAGCTTTTAAATGTTTCCCTGCTTCAGCACAGCTGATTTACATTCATTACTTATTTAAAAGACTTTTTCTAAAATCTAAGGATCTAAATTTAGTATGTTCATTCTGGAAAAGGTCCAAAAGTTACAACAATTGAGCCCCCTCAACTCTATTTTCTCTGTTCCCCTTTGCTAATGGCGTCTGATGACAAATCTGTATAGCAACAGAGCATTCTGAAATAAAAAGGCTGTTTGTTGGCCATGGCATCTATTTTGAGAGTCTAAAGTATCAATAAGTATTTTCTTGAGAGACGTGCAGACAGACCTGTTTGGGTTGAATGCAAGTGGATTTGAACAGGAACGTGCTCAGTGGCGTGCCGTTAAAAATCCCCCTACTACTTCTGTATTTCTCTACTCTACAGCTCATTTCTTCTGTCTCTCCGCAGAAATGAGCTGGGTAGAGATCCCAAAACATTGTTTGGTAGAGCAGATGAGTGCAACTTGGAGAGGTATTTGATTTCACAACGCTAAAAAAGAAAAATGTGTGGTGAGATTATGTTTGAATGGTCCCTAAGGGTGAGTTGGCTGGCCCTTGAAGGGGGAAAGAGGCCTCATTGAAATGAGCGGACTTGAGGAACGTCTCCCAAAAAAACTAAGCCGCTGTTCTGTCAGATCAGCACACCCCATCAGACCAGCATACCTATAGTCAATATGCATGCACAAGTCATCAGATTTCCGTTTATCTCTTTAGTTTTATACAAAAAATAGACTTTAAACTACCTCAACAGGCATGTATCCCTTCGTGTACAAGTCGTGTTGAGGTAGTTTAAAGTGTATTTTTCTTACAAAACTAAAGGGATAGACTAAAGGGATAAACGGGTATTGACTATGGGTATGCTGGCCTGACCGGGTATGCTCATCTGACAAAACTCCGGTCGATTACCTGAGGATAGGGGTAGGATGGATGAAGAACTCAATCTTCTGTTAACTTTATTTATAATCACCAGAGATGGGAAGTAACGAAGTACAAATACTTTGTTACCGTACTCAAGTAGATTTTTCTGATATTTTTACTTTACTACTTATTTTTATCGCGACTTTTTACTTCTACTCCTTACGTTTTTACACTTTCTACTCCTGACATTTAAAAAAATTGTCTCGTTACTTTAGTTTTGAATCATTTCAATGGAGTTACAGTTATTATTTTTCACGTCATCAATACCAAATTCAATCTAATTGGATGGGAATCTACGTTGCATTTGACGCACCACTACAAGATTGTGAAAACGAAGCCGTTTTCCCCCTCTGTTTCTAAAGTATAGCCGCCATCTATCACACACACCGTCGCGTCTTTACTACATTTCCCAGCATGCACCACAGACCGGCCGTCATGGCGGCGGCAGTTCCAAACAATTCACCCGGTAATTTACACTAGTTCCGAAATTACAACGTCACCTTTCATTCAACACTTTACTTACTCACCAGCGTAGCAAACTCTGAATGTACCCACTGCGACAGCTTCAGTATACATTCCGTAGTCGGTAATAAAACTTCCCAGTCAAATTACACATTCTCGGCCTTGGTCCATCAGCATACTGGTCCGTGTGGAAACACGTACCGCATCAGAGCCAGTCTCTTATCCATTGTCCCACGGCATTGGAAAATACTATGTGGGGACAGGGGTGTTAAGTGGGATTTCAATGTATGTACCAGTAATAATTGTTAGCATGGTAATTAGTAGGTGAATTGGGACTGTTAGCATGGTTAAACTATTTCATAATTATGTATGTTTTTTGTATGAATGATGCTATTGCCTGTATTTTGTTTTCTACAATGTTAACTGTGCTTTATTGGGGATTTGCCTTCCTGTTTAGTGGGGCTGTCCCAATTGGCTGGTTATTGGTGGTTCTATTTAAGGGGCACACTCCCAATGGCTTGGGAGGGCTGCTTGGAGAGACTGGTTGGAGAAACTGCTTTTGAAGGTCTGCTTAGAGAGACTATATTTAAAGTCAGCTTGCTGTGAGGCTGTCAGTGTTTTGTATTGCCTGCAATGGCCGGTTTTGTTTTCTTTATTTGAAAGTATTTTGTTTGTTTGTTTGTTTGTTTTTTTGTCTTCACCGTCACACCAGTAAATAAACGGCTACACACTTTTGAACTGGAATTTTGTCGTCCGCTGTTTCTTACCACCTTTTTGCAAGTCATCTGCTTACACCTCCTCTGACGTGAGACGGGAGCTGGCGAGCCGTTATCTCACAAAGATGAATCGACAGATTCGGCGGTATTCATTCCCGGCAAATCATTGCAGCTTGGTGGCGGTGGCGTTAGCATAGTAGTATGGACGACGAGATGATTGAAAATGAACACAACGGAGATCTAGTCCTATTGGCAGACATCCATTTAAAATGTAGGCAGCGGCATAAAAAAAGTGGTTTCTACTTTTACTTTTATACTTTAAGTAAATTTACAAGCCTGTACTTTGTTACTTTTACTTGAGTAAAGAAGTTTCATCAGTACTTCCACTTTTACCAGAATATTTTTTAACACAAGTATCTGTACTTTTACTCAAGTATGGAAAGTGAGTACTTAATCACACATTAAGAACGGCTGAGTTTGACTCCTTTGAAAAAGTCAGCGTGTTCTAGGAGTTTGGCCTCAACTGGACTTGGCTTTGTAGAGACTTCCTCTGGGTCAGACATAGAGCATCCATTGGCTGGCCCACCTAAACTACAACAGCCTGTCATTGTCTTGATTAAAGGACCACAGAGCTCCAAAAAGTATCTACAGGGACATATAAAGCTCCATCTGACACAAACTCACCAGTAAAACTCTCAACAATTGGTTCCTTTCTATCATTTTGAATCTTGTATCTTAGTTTCCGTCTTGGTTGCCTTTCTTCTGGGTTTTATTATTCAGTTTTCCCATCTCTTGATCATTATTTCCTTTTTTTACCATTCTTCGACCAGTCTTTCATTTGAGTTTCATGTTTTTCATCATACAGATTGGCTCCACACCCTTGTTTATTGGTCTATGAGCTCACCCTGGCTGTAAGAGTGGCCAATGGGCTGTGAAGGATTGTGTGATCTGTCGCTTGTTGGACTAGAGCCTCATTCAGCCACAGAGAGTTCCTAACTTCTCCAACCTGTACAGACATAATCACAGAAGCAGATTACTATTTTAAAACATTGCTTCATTGTCTCTTGGATTTTGTTGAAAAGAGAAAGTTTTTTAGAGTAAAAAGAGGTGCTATGAAAATTAAAGAAAAAAGAATGAGACCAAGTAAAGCAGTAACTCAGCTGTAAGATTAGCAAAGGGAACAGTGATGTCATGCACAGGCTGAAGGTTTATATTTCGACATTTACTAAAACAAACAAAGAATATTTGCCCGCCTTAGTATAGGAACTGATTTCTATTCTACTCCAATCAGAGGTTGTACTGGTGAAGTGCAAGTTTTTGCAAATTTTTGAAATTTGAATTTGAGCTTTAATAAAACTTAAAAGAAGATCTCTGTCCTTAACCCCTTGGCGCCCACTGTTGCAAATATGCAACAAACCCCTGGTGTTATCAACACGGCCAAGATAGCATGTGCATTCCCCTATTTCTGGTTATTACACATTCAGGGTCTACCTATAAACCTTTGGCAAGCTTTTGATTGCGCTGCAACTGGTCTCTACTGGTTTATGTTATCATTGACCATTATAGATTTTGTCACAAATTTTTTCACTAAATATTATTTTTTAATAAATAGAAAATGTAGAAACTTATATTTGGTAACTACTTAAAAGCAAACAACGTTCAGAGGTCACAGCTCCAACAACTTCATCCAGATCATTAATTTAAAAAAAAACTTGTGTGGTGCCATATATAAACTATAGAGATATTAGTTTTATACATTTGATTGGTTGAAAATGTATAAATATTATAAATATAAATATCATTAGCATCCGTTTAGTGGATCTGGTAACAGTTAGTACACAATAAGAGCAATTAAGTGAGAATGTGCCCCTTACTGGCCAGAAGACGTTAAACTTGAAGCTTTCATCTTCGGCGAGCTTGATTTGACCAATACCAGTTAGTTGCATTTGCAGTTTTTTCTATGTTTTACACTGTACCTTTTTAGTTTATTAACAGTTTGTAATAGAAGTAGAATATATTACTCTGCAACCCATCACACCTACTTGGTATTCCATATAGAAGTGTGTTAAACATGATTTTCTGTACCATTTTCAGTACTGCAGAGAAGCATTTAGGGAAAATAATAGAGTTTAATGTTGCCTTTGCCTTAGCTGGTGTTGAACAAGATTGCACAGTCTGTATGAATCCAAGGAAATGTGGAGAAAACTAATTGTGGGATTCTAGAGAAGGCAATGAAAGTGTAGCTGGCTCAGTTTTCCTCTACAGCCACACCTGCAATAACATGACCTTCATGGAAAAGTTATTGAAGGAAAACATTTCCTGTTTCCTTACAAATTAATATCTATTAAGAAGGGATAGACTTTGGAAACAATATCCTGTGGCTTAATGCAGACTGAATAAGACATGCTTGCCACAATTATGGGAGGAACATTTGAGGGATAAAATGTCCTCATTTATATAAAAAGTACAATTAAAATATTATTTAACATTTTTCTGTCAAGCTTCAGGATTGGATTACAAACGGGGATATATCGTTAATAGGGGAGGAATACAAACCAGATGTAGAGTAAAACACTAGGAGTTTTTGATTGGTCAACCATGTTAAAAAGTTGCATGTGACTTAGTCAAGTATGGGTAAATGCAGACTGTTTATCTGACCTGAGTAACCTTAACAACCTTAACTTTTCTGTGGCCAAATTTCAAGAATTATCCTATTATAAAAACAAATCGTATGTGTGTATAACTCCAGGCTCTTGGCGACTCTGATTTCCCCGCTGTGCTGAGGCAGCTGCTGCCCTTGATGAAGCCCCGCGGAGGTGAGAAAAGCTCATCCTCAGGGTCCAGGCTCAGAGAGGACGAGTGCGGGCCAGACGAGCTGATCCTCCTCCTGGTCTATCTCTACTCTCTGGCTGCGGAGGCGCAGCAGGCAGGTACCGGGGAGGAGGAGCTGGAGAAGCTGGAGCGGGAGCTGATAGGAGCACTCACGCTGGTCATCACACAGGAGACAGAACTCAGCCCATTGCTCCAAAACCTCACAGGTGAGAAAGTGCCCTTGCTGTCACAGTTCTTTAATAAGGCTTTTGCTGCAGAGTGTTTGTTTCTTCCATCCCTGCTTTTAGTGGTGCTAAAATCTCACTGTAACCGTAAGATTAGTTGCCATCAAGCCTTCTCCCTCTATATTATTCCAAAGCTGTAATAATAATAATAATACCATCACACATGATTGGCAACAGTATTCAAGTACAAAAAGTCATTGTTTTTCAACTTTATGTTATAAACCAAAACAGAATTCCACATTATGCTATCTAATAGCTTTGCCTAAATGTAGTTAAGCACATTTTTGCCCATTCTTAAAATTCAAACTCGGTTAGATTGGAGGTAGAGGATGTCTTTTTAACATATATTCTGTAAGCATTACCACAGATTCTCCGTTAGATTTCGGTTTGGTCTATCAATCTGGCTATTCTAGCAAAGTCTTTGGAGCTCAGTCTGGAAGTTTAGGATTATTGTCCTCTTAGAACATGGACCAATGACCATTTGCCAAAGTCCCTGTCACCTTTATCTATCACCTTCTATCACCTTTTTCCCAGGATTTTCCCTTTTTTGATTGTCTGAGGCCATTGATGATAGATACAGTATTTCTGCAGCTCCTGTACATTTATCATAGGCATCTTTGCTGCATCTCTGTTGGCTTCTATTGTCAGTTCAGGGTGAACAGCCATGGCTTTTGTAGGTTTACAAAGTGTCTCTCTCCTCCCGTTCTTCCTGTTATATAGGTTCTTTGGTGCTGGTCCTTAAGGATCTCTGAATAGGGTGTGTAACATTGGTTGGGCTGAAAATGGCATATTTGCTGTTCTCTGAGCCCTAATGCAAGCCTGGTTATAAGCCCCAGAATGAAACGACACGTTTTCTTCCTTTTATTGTATGCTCATGAATATTTAGATGAGCTGTGCGCTGATTGGTTGGTTTACAACGAGCAAAGCTGATGAGCAAAGACACATCATAGCAACAAGCACTCACTCACTGAAACCTCAAATATGTTAATATGGTAGGGTGACCAGACGTCCTCTTTTTCCCTGAAATGTCCTGCATTGCATACCTGAAAAAATGTCCAGGGGGAATTTCAAAATTGTCCGGGATGTTGGTCGACTACAGTGCAGTACGTAGTCGAAACACACCACGCACTCGAACCGAACCATGAGCTCTGGGGCTGGTCCGGGAACCCCGGCAGATGGGAACAGGGAGCCAGCGGGGGACAGGGCGACCGAACCCGACCTGGTGACGTTATTCATCATTGAGCTGTGCAAATAATCTTGGACGTGATTCTTAATCGAATCATGTTTCTGCTTTTGCATGTCTTCACTCCAGCATTACTGCTCTTCCAAATGTTAGTAAAGATCAGCTTGAGAATGAATATTAGAGCCCTCTAAAGCAGGGAAGTAGCACTACAACACTGGCGAGATCGCTTTCAAGTGATGGTTATGAATTAATCGGTAGAACAAAGTTTAATCTAATAAACCATTAATGATAATTAACCTTAAGTCAAATTTCTGTTGTTATCCCTAAGTGGACCCATCACCAACAGACTGCATAAAAACATTGAAAAGGACAAGAAATGGAAAAAGCTCAGACTGCTTATTGAGCTGCTGCTGAGCTGTAGTGCAGATCAAGGCTTGCTCCCAAGATAAATAGTCCGTCTACCTCAGCACCACAGCCAGCTTACCTCCCTCAAACTAATAGCATCTTTAACCTTGAGCCTCCAACATAAGCTCTCCTCCCCCAGCCATATAGTTCACAATTTGTCCCACTTTTAGTTTGGGCCCATAGCGTACATTAGCACACGCCCAGAAATGCTACACGGAGGTTTCGTCTTATATCAAATAGAGTATGGGGTCACGTTGGATATGGGATTTCATAAATCTTCATGGCAAACTATTCTGGACTGCTGAGCCCTCTGCTTTTCACTTTTCTCTTAGTCTCTCTGTCTTTCCTGTTCTACTTGGCTGAGTGCAGTTGGTAACCGAGGGGCCTCCTGGCAAGTTCAAGCTGAAAGATGGAGCTCATGTTAAAGAAACTGACTTTGTTATAAACACTTTGTTGGAAGGAAGCCTGTCATGGTGTGCCAGGTGCGTTCAAGACAGAACAAAGAAAGCATGTCAGGAAAACCTGGCAGTGTGTGTACTTCTTAAAATGTTTGTGTGTGTGTGTGTGTGTGTGTTTGTGTGTGTGAATGTTTTATAGCAGCCGACGAAGCGGTTGGCTCAAGTAACATGAGTAGGAGATCGTCTGTTTCAGCATCCAAAGCAAAACATTGATTGTGACATTCTCCCCAATTAAAGGAGTCAAATAAGAACCAGACGCTGAACGAGCGCTGGTCACCATGAGAACGGAGCTCTTGCAAATTTTTCTCTGTTTTTGAGTTTGGCTGTAGTGAGGGTCTCAAGGTTAATGCACTGTGCATGAACTGCTTTTGTGTGTTTCTGCAAACGGTGCAGACTCACTAGAAAAATATACACTGAGGACAAAATGCTAGAAGACTAACGGTAACTTGAGTTTAGGAAAGTAAGCATGTTAGCCTCCGAGATTGTTAAAGATTTAATTTTTTTAACTTTTGTAAATAGTATCGTTACGAGATGATGGTTCTTCAGACTTTTATCTTCCTTGGAGTTTGGGATTCTTTTTCTATACGCCTTGTGAAGAATTTTCTGTTTTCTTGCATATATATTTTATTATAAAACTTTTTTTCTATGCATCCAGACGCAATAGTCACGATTTTTTCAATAACACCAAGCTGTGGGATGTTTTTTTACAAAAATATGCAGCTTGATCGGCTCACTGTGACAGAAAAACCTCACAATGAGAACATTAGACAAAACTTAAAGATACAGATGTGAACTGGAGATAAAAATAATTGAAAAGGAATCTTTTGTTTCGCTGTTTGGCGTTGTGCACTTGGCCACTTCTCATAAACCCTCACCCCCCTCCCCTGATGATACGATAAGGTTTCCTTATCCACAGAGGCTTTTCTTAGTGCACTTTATCCCCACTTTGTATTAAATGCAAATCTTTACAGGTTTAATTTATGGCCATCCTATTTATTAAAGTCTCCATTAAAGTGCTGTCCATTAAAAGGCTCTTTATTGTTTATTATTATTGTATGTATGGATTGATTACTTAAATTGTTTGTGTTCTGTACTCTTTAAAAGCAAAAACAGGATTGTAATCTTAGCTATGCCTGTTTGTATTGTGAATTTTGTTGCATTTATTTAAAAAAAAAGTTACTACAGTTTAAAACTATCTCTACCATTTCTGATATATTTATTTGTTTTCTCCATTATTGTCACCATCACAACTCTTAGCAGGTAGTATTTATTTGCAGTCTGCAAAGTACAAGAAGTGTTGATCTTTTAAGAGGAAACCTCACATTGGCTGGTTTTAATTTTTAACTTAAACAAAATGGAATTATATAGGTATAATATTTGATCTTGGTGTGAGAAAACTGTGCTGATAGATACAGATGTTTTAAAGCTAGATGTATGGATTTACCCCAGTATCTAATTGCAATATCTGTGTATATATTAACCTAGATACTTAATTACTAGAAGTTAGTAACCTTTATAAGGCTGGTTGACTTCTGTATTTTAAGAAACAAGAACCAGGTGGGTTGTGGTTGGAAGTTTGCTATAAAAGTTTTGATGACTATTCTGCTTTTTAGCTTCTATCATTCTTTTTTATCCTTTTAAGCAGTGCTGTAATAGTCAAACCAAATATTTAATAAATATAGTTATTTTAGTACCCAGTTAGTCTCCCTTAGGCAAGGAATATTCTGTGTGTGATTTTCTTTAATAAACAAAAGGAAATCTCTAATACAAACTGTATATTACCATAACTTTTTGAATGTTTCAGAAACAGGCTGTTTTACTACAGATTTCTTTGTAGTTTTTTTGGGAGATATCTGTGGTAGATCAACACAAAGTAGCGAGTACTTGTGAAGTGGGAGGAAAATGACTGAATGTTTTTAAATTATGTGGTGTTAAAGTAACACAGTGCATTTGTCCCACTCACTTTAATTCAATTCAGTTTATTTATATAGCGCCAATTCACAACACATGTCATCCCAAAGCCCTTCACAATTCAACCAGATCATACAGTCAAATTGATTTGAAGTTTTCTATCTAAAAGAAACAGCTGATTGCATCGACTCATTGACTCTGACTCATACCAAGCATGTTTTTAGAGACAGTGGAGAGGAAAAACTTTTAACAGGAAGAAACCTCCAGCATAACCAGGCTCAGTGTATCGGCCATCTGCTGAGGCCGACTGGGGTTCAAGGAGACAGAAACAGTCATACAGAAAGGGGCAGAGATACAAAAGGTAATTGTCAACCAGCTCCACAGGCAGCACCGTCCAGGAAACACACAGCCAGGCAGACAAGCTCCGAGCCAGCTCCCATGTCAGCACATCAGGCCAGTTGCAGTCAGAGAAACCGGACTACACTAAAAAACAGGCTGAGCTCCAACATCTTTAAACAAAGGTGTTGATGGCAGCAGCACAGCTGATATTTCTCTCCAGAATGACGTCACAGCCAATCTCTGCAGAGTGGGAGAATAGAGATAGAATGAAGCAGAATGATTAAATAAGGGTCCCTATGTCCTCCAGCAGTCTAAGCCTATAGCAGCATAACTATAGAGATAGCACTGGATAACGTGAGCCACTCTAACTATAAGCTAACTATAAGCTAACTATAAGCCTTGCCTTAAAAGTAGACAGGATGTCTGCCTCATGGACTAAAACTGGTAGTTGGTTCCACAGGAGAGGATTTAGTGTTGAAATCACCTCTCTATACAGTGTATATCTTACTCCAGTTGTTCTTATAATAACTCTAATAGAGTAGGTGTAATTTGACAATGCATATTTAAAACTGTGGAATTAATGTCGATCTAAAGAGTCTAGCATGTAAATGCATTCCGTGCTTGGAGCTAGTTGTTTGTAGAGTTATTGATTCTAAACAGCTTCTTTTTCCCTAGCTGAGAAAATAACCCCCAC